CATTTCTTGGATTTCTTTGGTAGGGGCATTGACATACTTGTGGAATATTTGCACGACTGTGTGCAAGTGAGGAAGCATTACTCTTCCAAGACTGAGGTTGCTTAGTGAGATCTTTACTTCTTTCAGACTTTCAAGCTTGAGTGTACCTCAGTGTGAGTATTTTTTTTTTTTTTGGTAATAATTAAAATGCCCTGCAATAGCTATAACAAAAATGGGGCTATTATGGAAGAGATTGGAAGAAGGTAATCCTGAACTAGCAAGTTAAACATGATCTTAGCAATTGGTGGAGAAAGTGAGGACCAGGAAGGTCATGGAGCCCTCTAAAGGTCATGCCAGTAGTTAAATTCTGGGTCCTGGGTCTGTTGATATTTGGGCCAAGGCTGACTTGCCTAAAGCAACTTTAAGACCTGCAGAACAGCATCAAGATGCTCATGTGGGGAGACAGTGCCATCCGTCTTTAAAATCATTCTGGCTTTTGCTAGCTGATGAAGGAAATAAACTTAATGATGCCCTCATAAATGTGATGCTGTAGAAGAATGTGCACAGTGGAGCTCTGCAGGCCCCCAGAGGAACGGAAAAGGATTCTAAATGTACCTTTAAGGGGCAGTGTTTCCTTTTTTCTGCAATGACAGGGATCATGGCATCCGCCCCTGAATGGTGCCTACTGATGGACTGGCATCAGCACATGGTAAGTGAGCACTGGTAGAGAAAGGAAGGCAGCACTGCTGGAGCCAGTTCATCCTGAGCCTGTGGGTGTGGGTCCCTGCCCTCCATAAAGAGCTTGTCACAGGCTGAAGGGAATTTACGAGGCTCCGATCCAGCCATTCGAGTTGCAAACTGAATCCATGCAATGAAAAGGACTTGTTATGGTCATGCTGTAGGATGGGAAGAGAGCTGACTCTGGAAGCAAGGGCTCTCAGGTCATGGCAGAACTGCTCTTTGTACTGCACCACTGAGTTGTAGCCTCTTTCATGAGGCGGCCTCAAAAGTAAATTCCCTAAATGTCCCTGAGAGGTCATTACCAGTTTTGCAAATATGCAGATGTTACATGCTGATTCATAACTCCATTCCTGGCCTTGGTTCCCTGTCCATACTGTTGCTCGGGAACAAAAATGTGTCATTTTCTTTACTTTCTCTTAAGTTCCTAAGCTCCAAAAGAGTGTAAACTGATGGATATTTTGATTGGTTCTGATGCAAACTTACTCAGTGGGCTTCCTTCCCTAGGAAAAAGTCCCTGGCCTATGTCAGAAACTCCTAGACATTTTCCGCAGTGCCCAAAATGTTGCGGGTAAGAGTCAATGCAGTATATAGCTGTGCTGTTGGGAGGAGAACATAAGGGTGGTCACCTGCCCCTTGTGTCACATTTTGAGGTCAGGACATCAGATGGGATGCTTCAAGGGAAACCTCATTTACCTTTCAACTGAGGAGTTTTATTTATTTATTTATTTATTATTATTTAACCATGCATGAAACTGTGTATTTGCCATAACCTTTTTGAGCTTAGTGTGGATGGAAACATCTTCCCCTCAAGGTTTTGATGACCTTTCTTAGTCAGTGCCATGCTCACTACACACCTTGTGCATCGTCTGCTGGGATGGGATGTAGAAAGCTGGTCATCTTTAGGACAGCCACCCATGGGTCGGGGCTCATTTATCTGCCTGTATTTCTTCCCTTCTGACGGGAGAAACAAGGGCTCTCAAATCATAGCAGACTGCTCTCTCCACTGCACTCAGAGTTGCAACCTATGTCATAAGGTGGCCTCGGAAGTCAATTCCCCAAATGTCCCTGAGAGTGCGAGTGAGGTCCCTTTGGGTTCTGCTGTAGTGCTTTGTGCATTTCACAAGGGGCATTTTTCTAAAGAAAAGTATTCTTAGTATACTTCATACAATGGAGCATCTAATTAAAATCATGGTCCTGTTAGAGGGCAATTTTAAAGTTTGTGTGATTTTGCTCCCTTTCCTGCTCCCTACACTTATTTGGCAATTTCAGGAGGCATTCTTTGGCTGTCATGACTGGGGGAGGTAGGGAAATGGTGGCACTGGCACCAATGATGTTGCCAGTTGCCCTCTGAGGCACAGGGCAGCCCTGTAACAAAGAACCGCTCCAGCTGCCAGTAGTGCAGAGGTCGAGCAGCATGGTTTATGCCTGGTGGGACTGTTACCTACCAAGGAGGCAACAGAATTTTGCAATCCTCCTGGGTCTGTCCTAGCCATCAGCCGTTGGAAAGGCCCTGGGGACTGAAGTCCAGTTATTTCCCTTTGACTTAAAAACGTGGTCTGAAATGAATGCATGTCCATTATTTAAACACGTCTTTGCCTATTATTTTTGACCTGTCTGGATATTAAGGCCCCAACCCTAAAATGAGGTAAAATTTAGGTTATTGAATCCTCAGATTTTAATAATTTTAGGATCTCAGGCTTTTGAAATACTTAAGTCTCATCAGCTCTTTGACTTGTGGGGACACACTGCAATACTGCTGGTCTCCTAGACCCCCAGGCTCCTTTCCTAAGGTTCCCGTTTGTTCTCTGTGTTGGCATACATGCGATTTTGGCCTCACTCACGTCTGGCTGTTCTGTTTCACCATTGCTTTTACCCCTTTCGCCAGCTCTGTGCCGATGCAGCAGCACCTCTGCTATCGAGAGCTTTTGTAGCCTCCATATTTTCTCAATAAGGTGAGCAACTGGCGTCATTTAATCTAAGGAGGACCTGGGTGCCCGAGATGATGGGATTGGTTCATCTCAAAATGCTGCCTGTCCTTTGAGGGTGAAGGGGTTATTCATACAGACCCTGACAAGGAAGTGTCAGCCTTTATTTACCCCCACTATTCCAATAAGTTTCCAGACCTTAATGCATCTGTATTTTCACCTAAAAATTTAAACAAGAAAGAATTAGACATGAAAATACCAGGTGAACCAAAACAATCTAGTCAGTGTACTATCTTGCGACTTTTTTCCATGTTTCTGAAAAATTGCTGAATGTTTCCATAGTTCATTTCTTATTTTATGTGTCAGAAATAAGTAGCCATGCCTGTGCTTTGGAAGTATGATGGTACCACTGCCTTTCTAGCTCTCTTAAGTTGTGACTCCTTTTTCCTTGTAAACATAGGAAATTATATCTCACATCCACTAGGACACACGTGTGACTTCACATACAGAGGGGAAAGATTTGCAAAGTGATGTTTCCTGATAGGCCACCACCAGTTCACTTGAAGAATTAACACAGTAGATTCTGAGCCTTATCAAATGATTCCCATGCAGACCTTCTAGACTGAGCCTCCCTTTTGTGAAAGACAATGTCTGAGAGCGAAAAATAAAGCACTGCATATTGTTCATCAAGAAAAAAGAAATGGGTATGTGTGTGGGGTAGAATGATGTGCTTGGTCCTATTAATTTACTCTTTAATCTCTACTTCAGTTCTGTCTCTGGTAAGACAAACAGAATTAATTTGCATATATATGTTACCAAGTTACCCATCTCCACAGCATTTTACAGTTGTACTAGGTATAAAGGAGAAAAACAACCTGAAATTATTAATAAGATACTTCCTGTTGTTTTACCCATAAAGTAGGTAAATTTCACAAGGCCCTGAATTGTGGTACTTTTCCCATTCTGTCTGACTTCTTGGTTATTTACATTTTGATCCTAGGTCAGGACAGTGGCCTATCAAAGAATTATTTGAACTGGAGATTAGAAGCTTTAGCATTGGTTGTCTAAGACAAGAAAGGGAAGGGATCTTTTCTCCATCTCAGGAGGATGAGGGAGAGCTCACATTCAGTTATTTATAATTTGGGGGAGATGTCATTCATTTCATAAATTAACCAACAGATTAGTGAAGCCAACAATTCATATTGTGGGTAATAAAACAAGAATTATTTGCTGTTTTGTGATGGTAGAGGATAGTATTTGGTGGTCACTTAGTGTTTAAAGTGACTGAAGTAGGGGTTTAAGATGTCTTTTCACCCAGTGCCACTGTAAAACATGAGAAGTAAGCATCTGAAAGAAGGGAGAGTAATGATCTCTGCAGGTCATGAAGAAGAGTAATTTTTTTCAATTCATATGAATGGAATTTATCATAACCGTCTCTGAAGATGGCATGATCCACTTACAAAAGGCCTATCTATTTCATTACTTCCTAAAGAGATGTTTTTTTCACTTTTCACTTCTACTAACATAAGAAAGCCAAGCCAGAAGGCAGAAAATTTTAACCTAGGAGACTATGGGTGGAAGAAACTTAGTGAATCAGGGATGGAAATAAAGAAAAACAAGCAAGAATTACCTATCAGTTCAGGGTCTGCTGTTGACACAGTAGTTTGGGGAGGTGGGTGGTGGAAAGCAGGAAGTCAAAGTTTTAAAAGGTGAGTATCCCTCAGGATGTGTTGTAAATAGAGTCACTTTGCACCAAGTTCAAGGCTTTATAAACTGAGGTCATAATACTGTTGGCTTCCTAACAGTAAGCCTCAGAGACCTGTCGTCCCCCCCCCCACAGAAAAAGAAAACAACAAAAGACAGAAAATGATATGTTTTGTGTCCAGCGAGTTTGAGTGCAACCTTCCCCGTCACCGCTAGTTGTCACTTGGCTCCCAGACGGGAGAGCTGAGGTTTTCGGCACTGCGGTTAGAGAGAATGCAGTCCTAATTAAACTGAGTAACTCCTAAAGCGCCCCCTTCAAGTCCTCAGCCCGGCGAGAGCTAATATGCAAGGGGGTCGGGAGCCAGTGCTGGGAGGGGTAGCAGAGTCGGAAGGACAAACAAACCGCCAGAAACCGGGAAGCGGCTGCCAGAGCAGCGACTGTCTCAGACCTCCACGCACAAGCCAGACACCCTGCGGGTGGAGGGTGGGAGGGGGGTGAAGGGGGACGGGGGATGGAAGGACCGGATTGCAGCGGTGTATACATCACCCCCTCCCCCAAATGATGGGACCACGGGCCGAGTCTGTCTCCGTACTCCTTGCCTCCCTACCCCGTTTGCATCAGAGCGATGTGGTCAGTAGAAAATTGCATACCTGAAGAATACAATGGTCTCCCAAAGGTAGAGTCGAAGAGTATTGAAGCTGTACATTTTTCAGGTCCTTGTGCTTTGTTGTCCACGAGTTGTGGGGGCAAAAAAAAATGTTTCAGATTGGCACTTCCAAAACCGGCGATCGCGACTGGAAAGATAATCCAGATGTTAAGGAGAGGTAGGGAATAGGAGTGCAGAGGGAGAGCCCCCGGGCCGGGGGTGGGGGGACTGGAGCGCGGAGGCTGTAGGTACCACGGACAGTGGCGGCCGCAAAGCGTTTCAGCACCACGGAGAGCGCCCAGCCCTGCTTTTCAGGAGCGCGGAGAGTATCGATGTTTGCTAAACTCCAGCGTGTCTGGGGCTCCCTGCGGCGCTGGCAGGCACGTTTAGGGGTGGGTATATTTTTCTTTCTTTCTTGTTTTCTTTTTACCCTTTTTAAAACCCCTATTTTTCTGTTTAAACGTCCAGTTCTATGCAAGGAAAAAAAATCTTTCGTGGAGATCAGAGCGCTGGCCTCGGACAGTTAGGCTGGGCGAGCGTCTTGGTAGTAGAGACCAAATCCCTGGGCTGGCCTGAGGGGTCCGGGGAAAGCAGGCGATGGTGCTGCCTTCAGTTAAATCTCGGGGAATGTGCCAGGCTGGCGCATCGCGACCGAGTCTGGGAATCTTCGTTTTCCTGCCTCCGTTCTGGTCTGCTGTCGCCTCACAATCCCTGTTCTTTGGTCCCCGCCGAATAAGTTATGATCGCTGCAGGAAAGGTGTCCCATCGCTCAGGGCTGCAGGCTCGAGGCAGCCCAGGGCAAGTTTCAGGGGCTGCAGGAATTCATGTCTACGCCGCCGCCGCGGGGCTCGGGAGACCAAGGCGTCAGATACATCTCGGTTTTCAGAGCTCGCCCATCTTCCTTTGACCAGGACGCCCTCAGATCTTCAGAGTTTCTTACTGCATTAATTTAACAAACTGGCGGCGTAGGGAATGAGGGTGTGTGGGGGGGTAGCGGATGGGAGGGGGTGGAGAAGAAATGAAAAAAAAAGGGGGGAAAACTCCTTAGTATCTTCAAACCCTCCCACTCGAGGTGTTCATTGGCCCGCGACTGCCAAAACCAGATCTTCTCCGGGTTTTCGGCCAATCGCGTGGTAGACTTTGGGTTGCGGTTAACGCTTGGGGTGCTGGGCGCGACCCGCCCCCTCCCTCCCTGCCCCAGCTACGCCTGCATTGGAGTGGGGGGGGGGGAGTGGGAAAGGCTATGAGCTGATCTCTTGAGGTCCCTCAAAATCTTATCTTGATCTTTAAAGAATAGTCGTTTGAGAGTGAAATGCTGTAGGTCCCAGTTGAGACGTGCTGCTGGGCTCTTTTTTTTTTTTTTTTTTTTTTAAATTCTTTTTTAAAAGGGAAGCGTTGAATCACAGCCTTCAATTTCTTTGGAGTTCTGAAGTTATATTTAATACTTGACCCTGGAAGGAAAGGAGAGGTTTTCAAATAAAAAGTATGGTACGTAGAAGAAATTCTCTTCCAGAATTACTATAGTGGGAAAATATAGAAAACAAAACAAAACAAAAAATTCCTTAATTTTCAGAGGGAAGTAGGAGCTGTCTTGGTTGGCATCCTGCTGAGAAGGAAGGAAGATTCCCCACCTTCCAGCTGCGTAGAGAAACAGGGTTATTCACCTTCATAAGCTGGAGAAACTGACCCTCGAAGTGCTATAGCTCACTTCGAGTTAATAGCAGAACCAAGCAGTATGCACAAGTGTCTTGTACTTATTTCTCCCACTCCCTGATTTTCCTCCACCAACTTCCCCCTAGTTTTGCACCTGATTTGAGTCTCAGAAATCAGATATACATTTCACCCTAGAACCCATCGGGGGTGGTGGAGTTAATCAGATTTTCTCCAAGCCTATGGGACTTTAGTGGATTAACAACCTCTGCAGAATTTTCTGGCTGATTCGAATTCACTGGAACTCTGGGATCTCTCTCTTCCATGAATGCCTAGAGAAGTCAATGCTTTCCCTTCCCTGGTAACTTTAGGAACACTTTCTTTGGAGAGCTTGGAGGCTGGGTCTTCCTAGGATAATTCTTGACAGTGGCTCTCCTTCCACATCCAGGTCTTCTCAAAAGCAAAAACATACAGAAAGCTTTACTTACTGATCATCTACCAGTGGGATTTCCCTTCCCTTCCCACTCTGACACACGCGCTGTCTACATGGGGACTGATGTCCTACATAGGGACTGGGAAGGACATTTTGCTTTGATGTTGGGCATTTGTATGACTCTGATAGATGTTTACCTATAGATATATGGCATGTAGTACCAATATATATTATATACATTGACAGGGAGGATACAATCAGAAGCTAACTGTTAGTATCGCAACTGTGATGTGACAGACACTGTTGTGGGCTTCCCATGATTTCATTCACTCATCACAGTCATGCCTTATGGTAAATCTTGATATCCTTGTGCTTGTGTTCATGTGTGTGTGTACATTTATAAGTATGCTTGGACAAAACCAGCATATATATTTCTGTGTATATAAATTTATTTGTGATTGCAGTTTCTAGAATTCTGAAGTGAATTTGAAGTGCATGTATATTTGTGTACCTGTTTATAAATGTGTGCGTGTCTTTGTATTGCCCCAGATGTCCTGAAATAAGCTGTGATCTGGTAGCTTTGTCCTTGGGCCTCGTTTGGCTGGGAGCACCCAGCAATCCGATATGGATGCAATGTATAAAAGCTTCTCTTTTTTCTTCAAGGGATGCTGTGTGCACATGCCTTTGCATGCTTGCACGTGTGTGTGCATGTGTGTGTTGTTTTTTTGAGAGTGAGTGATTTCAAGGCTGTGGCCTACACAGGAGATGAGAATAATTATTACCTGGAGGGACAGGGTTCTGTTTTATAATAAATTTCTGTTCACTACAAAGCTGATACCTTCACTTAATCAGTGCATGTGAACTGAGCAATGCCCAAGCATGGGGAGTATAAAAACATGGAAGATAAATAATATTTTAAAACCCTGGGACATGTGATTTCTTCAGAATCATACCTTTTGGTTAGTAATCTATACTTTTTTATTTACTGCATCCTTGCTTGTATTTCTTATGCCACTAAACACTATACCCAGATTTTCCTGGCCTCCACTGAAAATAAACAACTCTGGGTTTAGTTGGGTATTCATGTTCTTATTTTATCTCTGCCTTGTAAAGGCCGGTGTAGTGGATAAATAACTAAACTCCAGGCTTAAGAAAAAAATGGCAGAAAGGTCCACTCTTCTCTTTGTAAGAAATGTCAAAAAGAAATGACATTTAGATCTAATCTTACCGTAAATCATGCTATGAAACACAAGTCTTCTCTATGTGGAGTGGAATGGCTTGAGCTAATGGTCCATTCGGCTGGAATTCTTGTTACAAGTATACTGCACAGTCTATCATGCAGTGCAGTTCCAATCCTTGATGTGTCCTTTAGAGGTCCTAGAAGCCAGTTCTGAATCTAACTAAGTATCAATAAATCTTGGCACAGATTGAGATTTACTACTAGAAGAGATTCATTTTTACTCATATTTATTGAGCATTCATTATGTGTCAGGCATTATTCTAGGCACTGGGGATATAACAGGGAACAAAACAGGCACAGATCCTGATTTTAATAAAGTGTATCTTCTAGTGGAGATAGACAGAAGATGATGAAGCAAATATAGGGGGTGTTGGGCAGTCATCAAAATTAAAAAGGCCAAAAACAAGAAAGAGGCAGAGAGTGTCATACAAATGCTTTTCCTGTAGGATGGTCAGATCAGAAAATGTATTCTGAAAGGAAACACTGAATAAACTGTCCAAGGGAGTGAGGGATTGAGCCATGTGAGCCTTGGAGTGGGGGAGGTGAGTTTCAAGGCGGTGAGAAGCAAGTTCAAAAGCCAAGAAAGGGAGGATGTGTTAAGGGAGTGTGGAAGAAACAGCGTGGTATCCAGTGCACCTGGACGCAGAAGGCATAGTGACGAGAAGTGAGGTTAGAAGAGTCTTCTACGCTATGGCGGTTCTGGTTGTTGGGGACTGGTATTACCTCTGTACCAGAAAATGCCCCCCTCAGCTGTATACCACTGTGTCTTAGCTGCCCAGGTACAGTTCCTGTTCCAGTTCCAGTTGCTCCTGTCTCTTAGAATCAGCTGGTCACTGTGATGCACAATGTATAAACCAATCCCCAACTGACAGGCCACTCTGCCTCTGTACTTCTTGCTTGCTTATCCTACATAAGCCACAGGAGGTCTGGGCCTGATATCCTGGGGATGATCCTGATCAGTGTCCATTGACATGAATAAATCTTTCTTCAAATCCTGGGTGTTGTTTACATATTTCTGTTTGCTGTTGCACTTCCAAGACACAGTAAGGACTTTGAGTTTTATTTTGAGTGAGGCAGAAAGCCATGGAATGTTTTAAGTAGAAGACTAAGATCTGATTTAACATTTCAACAAGATTTGTCTGGCTACTGTATTTAGGATAAAGTGTGTGTGTGTGTGTGTTTGCAAAATAAAAATCAGATTAGTTAGGTGTACCTGAAAAAAAAATCCATGTGAGATATTCTTATAGATTGATCTTAATCAACACTTTTATTTTCAAAAAGAAAAAATTATATCTAGAGAGCTTAATCTACTTATCCCTCAAAATAGCTGCACAGCTGGTATAAGAACACTACAACTTAATGATAACTAAAGGGTCTTTGTATTATTCTATTGTAATAGCTGAAATAAAGAATGTTCAGAAAGAGAAAGAGAACCAAAGAAGTCTATAAGTGAAGGAGCCTTACCTGGCTTATCACTCACATACACACAGAGATTTATACATAGTACATATATCTTGTTTACAGCATGACAAACCCATGGTAAGTTGAAAATACTGTAAGGAGAAAATACACTTACTAAATACATTTACTACAGCTAAACAAACATCATCACTTAGCCCAGTACACCTTTTATATGCTGAGAACAATTACATTAGCCTACAAATGAACTAACCCATCTAGCATGGAGCCTATTTTATAATAAGATGTCGAGTTTCTTGTGTATGTTACTGATAGAGTATTGGTTGTTTGCCCATAGTTGCACGAATGACTGGAAGCTTCTGCTGGTGTATGGTATCTCATATTGCTAGCCCAGGAAAAGATCAAAATTTAAAACATGGAGTATGCTTTCTACTGAATGTGTATCACTTTTACACCATCATAAAGTTAAAAAAGGAAATCAAGCCATCGTAAATTGAGGAAGTTTGTGTATATTGTATTGTATTGTATTGTATGTAGGAGGTTCTGAGTGATTGTTTCTTGCCAGAGCAAGTGAATGAGTGAAAGGAAACAGAGTGGTTCAAGCCGGAGGCCTGAAGAGAGGATGAGAAGAGGGAATAGTGTTGGTCAGGTGAGATTAGTTGTCCCCAGCCAGCAGACGTAATTAACATACTGCAAGCCTCTGTCATAATGACATTCACCGAGGAGAATGCTGGCGGTTTCGAGACTACTTTGACAGACTTCAGTAATACTCTAAGGAGAGAGGGATTTCGGAGCAATTGAGCAGCCTGTCGAATTGTACTGAAGTGTTATGATGGATCTGAGTTTGTGAATGGGCTTGTGGAAAAGCCCTTCCTCCACGGAGCTGGAGGCTAGGCCAGCCTTTCGAGCTGGAGAAAACACCTCCTAGCTTTTTACTGCAAAGCAAGAGCCTGTTTTTGGTGTTGTGAGAAAGGGACATCTCAGTGGTACCAGAGAATTTTTTGTCCTCAGGGGACCAGTGTAATACTAAAAGACCTTGCCTCCCATTTTACGGGTTAGTCCCCAGGGCCTGGTGACACAGAATGACTGACTTTAGCTAGATCTCAGGACTTCTGCCTTCAGGTGATGGCTCCCAACCTTTCCTTCTGAGGCCGAAATAAAAGAAGAGAAAGTGGAATGTGCGAGGAAGAAGTAAGTGCCTCAGGTCAATGCAGAGCAGGCCCGGCTTTCTTAGGTCCCCGAGGTTTTCTT